CTCAGCCTCCCAAGTAGCTGGGACTACAGGTGCCTGCCACAATACCCGGCTATTTTTTGGTTGCAGTTGTCATTGTGGTTTAGCTGGCCCAGGCTGGGTTCAAACCTGCCAGCCTTGGTGCATGTGGCTGGCCCCATAACCACTGTGCTATGGGTGGTGAGCCAGGTAAGCCTGAATTTTTGTAATGGAGCTAGGAGATGAGGGGGCATGCCACAATTGTGTTTCATGCCCTCCTAGTGTGATGAAAAATAGCACTAGGCTTGGAATCAGAAGGCCTGCCTCTACTTCTTGTTGTGTTATCTTTTTTTTTTTTTTTTAATGTATTTTTGGAGACAGAGTCTCACTTTGTTGCTCAGGCTGGAGGTCAGTGACCTGATCATAGCTCATTGCTGCCTAGAGCTCCTGGGCTCCAGTGATCTTCCCACTTAGCCTCCTGAGCTGCTGGGACTACAGGCATGTGCCATCATGCTTGGCTACTTAAAACTATATATATATTTGCAAAGACAGGGTTTTGCTGTGTTGCCTAGGCTAGTCTTAAATTCCTGGACTCAAGCAATCCTCCCACCTTGGCCTCCTTAAGTGCTAGGATTACAGTTATGAGGCACAGCACCTGGCCATCATCTTAATTTAAATGAGTCACGTAGAAACTGAAAGTTTTCATTTTGAATCTATTATGGGGTTAATAATTGTCTACTTACAGAGTTTGACTACATTTGACTATTCAAATGACAGCATTTATGAAAGCTCTTGATTTACTGCAGCATCCTCTGCAAACATGAAGCTTTATTTGTCATTTTGGGTGTGTTTCTTAGAGAGCTGCTCTACCAACTGTCACAAGAGATTGACACAGAGACCTTAAAGAACATTATCTTCCTTCTGGGAGACTCGATTCCCAAAACCCCGATGGTGAGTTGGGTAATACAGAGTGGGGTCTATGTGTGCACTGCCTTAATCAGTGACTAGGATGATGCTGGGAAGGGTTTTCAGGGAAGTTTATTTTGTGGAGACAGTGTCATGCAAAGTTAGGAGCTTTTGCAGTTTTAGTGTTGAATGGGCCTGGATTCTAGTCCTGACTCTGATTCTTAGCCTAAGGTGACCAGGCATCCCGCTTTTGGTGGGACAGTCCTGATTTTCAACAATTTGACCCTCATCCCATGGCATTTTAAAAAAGTCCTGATTTTTGGAAAGAGTGCACGACAAGCAAAGGAACAGCGGGAGAACGGGAAGGGAATATACGGTTTTCGGCTGCCATGTGCCTATTTTGCCAGGATATGAATTGTATATTATTTTTGTTAATTTTATAATGTTAAACTTTAATAATAACAAATAATTGTTGAGAACTGATTATTGAGAACTGCTTATCAAAGTTTGCATTGTTGATCAGTTGTTAGAATTCCACCACCATTGTTTGGACTTAATG